TGACACCAAAGACAAGAATTAATAAATGATAAGCCCAAGTTATTTCTAACATCTGCAACTAACAAGGAAACATTACCTAGAAATATATCAAGAATCTCTTGCACTATAATCAACACGAAAGAGAAAAATTAATAGAAAAATGGGCATATTATAAGTACAGGCCATCCACTCTCTATAAGTATAGGCAATCCATAGAATAGAAAACCAGAATGACTAAAAAGTATATGCTCAGGGCTTCCCTTGTGGCTTAGTGGTAAAGAATCCACTTGTCAACACAGGAGACACGTGTTTGATCCCTGGTCCAGGAAGATCCCACATGCCATGGGACAGCTGGGCCTACGTGCCACAACTACTGAGCCTGTGCTCTAGAGCCTGTGAGCCACAACTACCGAGTCCACATGCCACAACTACTGAAGCTTGCGTGCCTAGACCCCATGCTTCACAACATGAAAAACCAGCACGAGAAGCCGGTGCATCACAACTAGAGAGCAGCCCCCAATTGCCACAACCAGAGAAAGTCTGCACACAGCAATGAAGACCGAGTGTAGTCATTAAAAAAAAAGTATATGTGTGGGCTTATTAGTAATCAGATAATGCAGATTAAGACAACATACAATTTCATACAGAGCAGATTATAAGAAATCAGAAAATATCAAATGCTGCTGAAGATGTAGAGGAAATGATATTCTCATGTCTTGCTGGTGTAAGTGCAAACTGTACAACTATTCATGAGAACAATCCATCATTACTAACTGAAATTAAATATGCATATACTCAAAACACCAGCCAATCTACTCTAGGACATATATACCAAAGAAATTACAGGGCAGAGTCATAAGAAGAAATATACAAGTTTGTAGAAGTGTGAACAGCTGGAAATAACCTGAGTATCTATGACTAGAGGAAGAGATAAGCTATAGTATGTGACTATAACAGAATAATGTGTGTCAGAAGCATGTTTTATACAGTAAGAGGAATAGTTCCTAAAATCCTAATGTTTATGAAAGTTAGAAGCAAAATGAGTTTTATACCATATCACTTATATAAAATTGAAAAGTTATACAAAATAAATGTTATCATACAGTTTTTTAAAGAAATATGTGAAAAATTTAGAAGATGGCTTGGAAGAATAAACATTAAATACAGAAGAGAGTGGAGAATATGGAATTGCAGGCAGCAGATGAAGAAAACTATTAGGATAAAATGAAGCAGAACAAAACTATAGATTTTCTAGACCAATGATACTGGTGTCATTAATAAAGAGTATAATCAGTAACTGAGTCAATTCTGAGCACATGAAATTCTTAAAAAACAAGACAATTTATATGAGGACAGAAACACTGTTAGGTTAGAATACTTAAAACATTACTTCTTTAAATGCGAAAAACTATTCATAGGGCATAATATAGTTAAGTACTCCAGAAGATTCAAGACTTAGCTGTCTTAACGTAAAAGAAACAGTTGGTTCTCCCAAATGAGATAACCTACATAAAAACAACATACAATATCAAAGGACACTTCAAGGCAATGTTTAAAAAACAAAATTTCTTTGTGTTGAATAAATATTCTACTTTGTGTTGAATAAATATTTTTCTAGGCTGTTCAGGTATTCAGCAAAATAATTTAAAATTACATTTTAGGCAAAGTTATAAGTACTAGTGAACTAATTTCAATTTTTAATTATGTGTGAATATGAAACTTGAGATTGATATAAATACCTTGTGCCATTTTAACAGGATGTGAGAAGTTTAAATAAGCATGGAAGAAATTACAAAATATATAGCTGCCATAATCTCTTTTGATTTATAGTTTTAAAAAAAGCACTCTTATGTGAGGTAGATATAGCAGCTATTGCCAATGTTATCAATGAGGAAACTGAAAAATCATCTTACAGTAAGTATATCTCACAGTAAATAGTTGTCCAGACTAGAATCTAGGTCTCCCAAAACCTAGATCTGAGGTCTTATTTTAATACATTATTGACTGGAGATGTATCAATACATTTTTTAGAGAGTGATATAACCAGCATCACTGTGCAAAGTTGTTAGAGCTTAAAATTGATCAAGGGCTCATTATACAACTTATGATTGTCATTATCATTCCCATTTTGCTCTGTTGGGTTTTTGTTCCAACCTTGTGTATATTTTAAATGCAAGTTTATTTAATAAAATTTTCAAAAATGATGCATCATGAAATTTTGAGGAAGAAGCATTTTTCAGTGAATTTTACGCAGGTACTTTCTCTGACTGTGTAAGGGACATATATACTAGTGTCTCAGAAGATGATAGTTCTTCAGAATACAGTTCTGCTTCAGATGAAAAAAAAACAAAAAAATAAAAGACGAAAAAACCTTAGTGATGGATTCTGATATGGAAAGTGAAAATGAAACTCACTGGGCTGGAGACTTACAGGTGTGTCAGGTATAACTACTGAGTGTAATAACCCAAAGAGTGCTAGTGAAATAACAGAATTAACTTTTGGGTGGCCGAAAAAAAAACTGCTAGCCATAGGCGTTAGTTCCTTCAAAAATTCCCCGGTCAACAATGAGTTAACTCATCTTCAAAGTAATTTTTACATAAGTGTAAATTCAATATTTTCTTTAATCACAAGTAAATAGAAAAGACACATGGATCTGCAGTAGCTAATATACACAATGATATGAAGAAAAACAGACTTACATTAATTGCAATCCTGTAAAAAGAGTTAACAGGTTGTCTTCAAAAAATGTCAATCAAGTTTAACATATTTTTATTTGTCCAATAAAATAACTTCACAATCTATTAAAAATAAAATGTTAACAGCATTTAATATTTGTTCTTTTATCTATTAAAGAAAGCACAGATAAAGGACATTAGTATTCAAGTAAATATTTGACACACTGATAGACTAAATCAAATACCTAAATAAAATGTTAACACATGAAAATTTATAAAGCTTACCTTTTTCCTTTCTATACTGATAAGCTACAATCAGAAAAAAATTTAAATGAAACCTGTTTTATTGTTGTAACTTGTGATTACTGTATTTAATTGAAAATGTTTTTTCAGTTTGTAATTTCTACAAAGCAGCAGTCCTTAAATAAATTTCTAAAAATAACAATATTGAAACCTAGAACTGTCATGATAAGAAAGGTTATAAAATTTTTCTGCTTATTCCTAAATTCCTTTTCTAGATTCTTATTAGAAAAAGAATTTTTAGACACAAATAATATACATAAAATGTATGCTGCAATTCAGCATTCTTAACCAAAAAGAAAAACAAACACAAAAACACCATAAGAAAAGTCAAATTGTTTTTGTCATTTATTTTGTGCTATACTCTTCTCTCTATACATCTTTAATAGCAATCATAAAGACCCCTTTTCTAATCTAAATAGCACCAACTCAAAATTTCACCTCTACTTGCATTCAATTTAGATGTCTCAACATCAAATTTAATAATTTGTTTTATAAAAAAGTTGTTTCAAGAACAAAATTTCCATAAATGACTTTCTAACAGAGCAAAGCAGAACCTCTAAATGTAGAATACAAATGGAAAATAGTATATAAGTAACTTAATCTCCTCAACTTGAAGGTTTGAAGAACTAGGTGTTAGAAAAATACATCTAGATAACAATTTTACTATTTTATTATTTTTTTCTGCATGGGGTCAACATTGTATTTTAAATGATATCTTACTATATTATCACAAAAGAGAGGTTCCCAAGAAGCCTTTAGTAAAATTCTATGTTGATTATACATGTACTTGGTTCCTAATGTTTTAGTTTGAACTATTTCAGAATTACTTAGTTGTTGAACATAAACTCTATAAGAAGAAAAGATCAAAGTCTTCATCAAATAATTTCAAGTTTTCAACAATATCTGTAATGTAGTTTCATACTCTGTATAACTGATATTGTTTTTGTAGTATGATAATAGCAAGTATATGAATTTTCCAATTTTGTGGGGAAATATTCAGTGTACTGAAATTTAACTGTACCTAAAATCATTCCTAACAAGTCAAATACTATTATCATACTCTAAATGGCAATTCAGCATTTTATTTATAGTCTCAGTAGTAAAAACTGAACCTAAAAGAAATATGCACCCAATGTAATACACTCTCAATGTTAAAGAACTGTCTGAATATGGAATTAAAAAAATAATTTTAATAGGTAGAAGCAGAGAATCTGTGAAAAGATTTAAAATCATTACTGCTAGAATCGAGTTGCAAACTTAAAGAACTTGAGTCTAGGCTGGAGAAAAACAAAGTAAATCTTAAAGATTAAGAGTTCTGATTCACCCAGGATGAAAACTAGTCATACATATAAAAAGTCATATGACCCTCTGAAGAAAAGGAAGCAATCTGTAAGAAAGATAAATTATAGCCTTTTTACAAGCAAAGAAAACTATTCGGGCTAACTATCACCCCGGAACCATTTCCTTTACAATGCTTTTAGCAACCTTTCTAAGATAAAATTTTCAAAAATACAATAAAACATAATAGCATAAATTGTTGGGTGAAAATATTTTACTACTGCCTAAAGCAAACCCAATACGGGATGTAATACACATCAGAAAATTTTTACTATTCAGTTTAATTAAAGCTGTAGAAAAACTAGCCTGTTCTCATACACTGTCACTAAATTTCTGAGGATTCCAAGTCAATTAAACTAGAATTTTAAAATGTATTAGTGATCCCTACTGTAGCAAACTGTGTATTCTACAGTTCATCAATCTTACTCTTTCAAGAGAAACACTGGGTTTCAAATAAGATGAAAATGATAGTCTCCATAATCTTATAACCTAGGCTAAACAAATATCCTCATGGTCCAATAACTCATAAAACGTAACCAGGTCACTAGACCAACATACTAGTGTACAACTTTAATAATTTCTAGCAGCAAAACACCTTAAAGAGTCATTAACAAATGTTTTCATTGGATTGTAGATTAATTTCTTTGTAAGAAGAAATTTTTAAAAAGTACTCGATAGTTCAACTTCAGGCAAATATGAAAGTTATCAAAGATCTTGTTTATCTCCATTTTTCCCAGTGGAATCAGATGCAACTGGAACCTTATTAGTTTCAACAAAAACAGATTCAAAGGCAGCTTCCTGCTCATCCAAAGAATCAGCAGCTGTGGCTCCTTTAATTAGTGTTGTGTTGGTAAAAGACTGTTGCTGCTTGGAAATTTTACTGGATTCCACTGTTTTTCTACCTCTTCTTTTACCAAGAATTTTGACATAATTAGCAGGTATAAGTCCTGTTGTTTGACCATCAAGACTGGCCAGAAGCCAACCACGCACTCTGGGTTGTTGCTCTGATGGAAGAAAAGAGAGCCTTGTAATTATAACATGCTTTGAGGGTCCAACAGAATATTGATAGTAAAATGTTAAAATCTTTGTTATACTTACATAATATATATACTCATAAATAAATAGTGCACATGAATATTTAAAATCAAGATGAGTAGGCTCAATTCTAGGATCCCTTCTTATAACATTTTTAATTTTGTATTTATGAACATTTTTTCAGCCTTGAAATACATAAAGTTTATGTCAGTTGGTGCACTCATAGAGAAAAAAAATTCAGTTCCCTCAAAAGCTGAAAATTAACATCAATGTCTTTCATATTTTAAATTGAAATTTAAGGAATGAGTATCTCACTACTTCCTGATAAGTTAAGAGTGAGTACAGAAAATAGATAGGTTGATTTATGTAAGCCAGCTTTCTTTATGTATTTTTGGCTGAAATTTTAAAAAACCCATTCTATGTGATTGCGATTCACAATCCTGAAGGACAATGAATGTTAATTTTAATCCAAGGTGGGCAAAAATTGAAGACCTCAGTTACCTACAGCCACGTAACAAAAAGTTAATACTCTAAGCTTAAAGTAGAAAAAATTATTTAAATAATCCCACCTATTTAAAAAAAAATTTATTCAAGTATAGTTGCTTTACAGTGTTGTGCTATTTTTATTTACATCTTTAAAAAGCTGTTTAATTTAAAGCTGTTTAATTTAAAAAGCTGTTAAGTTTTAGTTCAAAACTGTAATTCCGGCACAACATGACATTTTCATGTTTCTCTATAATAAAAAGGAAAAAAAGTTAAATTAACCATGTCTGTGACTGATTTTGTTCTAAATGCCCTAACATATCTATGTTAGCAATGAAGAAAGTAAAGAAGCAAAGTCGAAGTGTTAAAAGGCACTATTAGTTGAAGAATAATCTGAGATATAAAATTTTTCTGGAATATTATAATTTAAATGAAAAGAATCCACATTTGATCTTCTTTACTTTTTATTTAATTTATTAAAACTAATTATCTGTACTTTCCTCTAACAATAAATCTTAAAAAGAAAGAATTCTTTTGAAATCTAAGTAAACCACTATTTTGACTGGACGAAAAACATGAATATAATACCTAATAGCCAGAATTTTTCTTAACTTTACATTATTTAAAATTTTCTTCTCAGAAGCCTAGGTTTTGTGTGTGAAGAGATGAGACAGAGATTTAGCAAATTTGATCCAAGATTTTCAACTAGTTACCCAATTAAACTAAGGATTGAACACTGAAGATATTTCTCATGTAAAGAGTGACTAACACCAATAAAATGGCAGTTTCCATTAATAGAGCACATGGAAAGCAGCCAAAGTGATTAAAATACAGGTTCTGAAGTCAGTTAACCTAGGTTCATAGTCCATCTCCATTACATCTTAAGTAACACTGGACAACTCACTCATTCTGAGTTTCAGTTTTCTCATATGTAAGCCAGGAACAGAATAATAACAGTACTTACATCCCAGCATTATTATAAGGTTTAAATGAAATATGTACAGTGTCTAGCACATTCTATTTTCTTTTTTTGACCGTTCTGCAGTTAGCAGAATCTTAGTTCCTCAACCAGGTGTTGGACCTAGGCTCTAAGCAGTTGAGAGTACTGAGTCCTAACCACTGGACAGCCAGGGAATTCCCCCTAGTACCTACGAAGCAGTCTATAAATGACCATTCTTATTATTGTTACTAGTATCTTTACCAACAAAATGTGACTTTTCATAGCAAACTGAATCCCTCTAAATACACACAAACAAAAAATCATTTTTTTTCTTTTTGGTAAATCTACAAAAATTCTGATCGTCGTTACTGGGGAAAAGTGGAGGAAAAGGCCATTTTGTTTGGAGCCATTAGAAACTATTAGCAACATGATCTGAAAATTAACCTGAATGTCTATAAATTTCTTGCTGAGGTTCTTTAATACTTCATGACAGTAATTCCTAAATATTCATGTTGAAGTCTCTAAGGTAAACATGATTCAAGTAAAAAAGTAATACTAGTCTCAGCAACAAAAGACTAACAGGGATGTTTTAGATAATGCCAGGCAATTACTTTGGTTTATTAGACTCATTACATTTAGTGCTCACCTCATGTTTTTGGGTTGGTAATTAACTTGGAATTCAAATGTTTTAAGTTTAGAAGAGATCATATAAACAAAATCTTTCCTTATTTCAGTGAAATATTGGAACAACTTTGCTGGAACATTTCTCTACCACTCCCCCAGATTTGAAAGGTTTACACTGACAAAAAGAAATTCTAGTAACTACCTCTGAGTTAACTAACAGTGACCAAGATCCTTTTTGTCCCTCACTATCCTTTAATGCAGTTTTCAATACATTTACAAATTCTAAAAGTGCACAGATAATTCCCATTTATTCATGTTTTCTTACCTTTGAGAGCTAAGTTCAGCATATCACCAGCACGGAAAGAAATTTCTTCTTCAGATACAGCAACAAAATCATATTCTGCTCTAGCAACTACATGGTCGTCCTCACCACTTGCCCAGTTGGTATTGTCTATAAACCAAATTAAGATTAGGTTAATAGAACTTAAAAAAAAAGATATTCCAGTGGCTATGTTTTGCAAACTACATAAACTTACTTGCCAAAAGAAAATCTATCCCGCAAAGTAATTTCCACAACTAACACTATGTAAGCTCAACAACATGTTTATTACAATATCTTTTATAAACTTTTTCCTTTTCTTTAAGCTCCAAATTCTAGCTTCCTTATTTTGAGCCAGGGATCGGCAGTTTTTTTTTTATAGAGTAAAATAATTTTGGAAATTATTAGGAAATATTTAGGAAATATTTTAAGCTTTGCAGGCCATGAGGCAAAACTGAATGTGTCATGTAGTTTCTTATATAATGACAGAAAAAATTTTTCCATAAATTTTATGAAAAATTTAAAATATAATAACAATTGAGTTCTTTTTTTGTAATACAGGCCAATTGTAAAGAATGGAATCTTTTTGAGGTAGGATATTTCACTTAAATTTGGGGTTCAAAGAATATTTTCTATCATCTATTATCAACTGCAAATATACATCTGTTGACACTAATTTGTAATGAGATTTAAGGTATCTCATTTTGAAAATGTTTTTTCACAAAGATATGTACTGCCAAATTCTAATACCAATCCACTAAACATGTGATTTTAATGAGCATATTATCCTAAGAAGGTGAATAGCATAGAATTGTTAAATTCTCTTGATATTAACCTTTCAACATGTCATTTCATTAGAAACTAATCACTTTAAAATGAAGATTAAATGGAAGCTCTTCAATGGCAGTTAAATGGGTTCTGAAATATGGACATTTCCTCCACACTGGCATGGAGGTCCAAAAACACCTCTGAATTGTAGAATGACCGAGGAAAGTATAACTGCTGCAAATTTATGTGGGAATGGAAATCTTGTTTCATTAGCTTTTGACAACCTATGAGGTATAAAAGCAGTGTGACATTACTTGTGATTCAAACAATATTAGTTGTCGTCAAAGTAACTTTCAGTTCAGTTCAGTCGCTCAGTCGTGTCCGACTCCTTGCGACCCCATGAATTGCAGCACGCCAGGCCTCCCTGTCCATCACCAACTCCTGGCCCATCGAGTCAGTGATGCCATCCAGCCATCTTATCCTCTGTCGTCCCCTTCTCCTCCTGCCCCCAATCCCTCCCAGCATCAGGGTCTCTTCCAATGAGTCAACTCTTCGCATGAGGTGGCCAAAGTACTGGAGTTTCAGCTTCAGCATCAGTCCTTCCAGTGAATACCCAGGACTGGTCTCCTTCAGGATGGACTGGTTGGATCTCCTTGCAGTCCAAGGGACCCTCAAGAGTCTTCTCCAACACCACAGTTCAAAAGCATCAATTTTTCAGCGCTCAGCTTTCTTCACAGTCCAACTCTCACATCCATACATGACCACTGGAAAAACCATAGCCTTGACCAGACAGACCTTTGTTGGCAAAGTAATGTCTCTGCTTTTTAATATGCTATCTAGGTTGGTCATAACTTTCCCTCTAAGGAGTAAGCGTCTTTTAATTTCATGGCTGCAGTCACCATCTGCAGTGATTTTGGAGCCCCCAAAAATAAAGTCTGACACTGTTTCCACTATCTCCCCATCTATTTCCCATGAGGTGATGGGACCAGATGCCATCATTTTAGTTTTCTGAATGTTGAGCTTTAAGTCAACTCTTTCACTCTCCTCTTTCACTTTCATCAAGAGGCTTTTTAGTTCCTCTTCACTTTCTGCCATAAGGGTGGTGTCATCTGCATATCTGAGGTTATTGATATTTCTCCCAGCAGTCTTGATTCCAGCTTATGCTTCTTCCATCCCAGTGTTTCTCATGATGTACTCTGCATAGAAGTTAAATAAGCAGGGTGACAATATACAGCCTTGATGTACTCCTTTTCCTATTTGGAACCAGTCTGTTGTTCCATGTCCAGTTCTAAATGTTGCTTCCTGACCTGCATACAGGTTTCTCAAGAGGCAGGTCAGGTGGTCTGGTATTCCCATCTCTTTCAGAATTTTCCACAGTTTATTGTGATCGACACAGTCGAAGGCTTTGGCATAGTCAATAAAGCAGAAATAGATGTTCTTCTGGAACTCTCTTGCTTTTCTGATGATCCAGAGGATACTGGCAATTTGATCTCTGGTTCCTCCTTTACTCCAATGCTATTTTGCCTTACAGTTTTAGGTTGAACTCATTAAGAAGATCACCAAGTCTGCAGCAAAGACTGATTTCCAAAGCCACTTAGTGTTTTCTAACAGTGGCTCATAGTGATTCTTGTTTTTCAGAAAAATTTCAATCTTGGCCTTGATCCTCCCAAAACAGTAATAAAACTTAACCACTGACTGCTCAGTCATCTCACTGCTGTATGGTAGGGCAAGTCAGGATCTTCAGCTTCTTCTCCTGATAAAAATTCACAGAACTGACAACAGTTATGTCCACAAGAGTGACTGAAGTTCATCTCTGACATTACTAGTTCAATAACATGATAAATTCAAATATTTTATGCAATGTACATGCTGATAAAGAATACTATGAATAACTATAGGCTTTAAAAACTATATTTTCAAAATTCTGTAAATTTTGTCCTGCCCAGTCTTCTGTTACACACAAATTTTTACCACTAGTTATAACACATCTCTGGATTAACGTGTTTTCCAACTGCTTTCAAAATACTCAGCTGTAGTTGTTCCCAGCAGTCTGTTCACAGAGGCAACATCTTCAATCACTTCAAATTCAACAGGACTCTTCCAATAAACTACTGAACAGTATCAACATCTACTGGGTCCTCATGAGCCAAGTAAATCCATTCAAGCCAAGTAAATCCATTTGCCTAGTTTTAAAATGACTATTGCTGTTGTTTTAAATACTCTTCCAGAAGCTGTTCTCCCTGAAATGTTAATAGTCTCAAACAAGTTTACTTCTTCTGAATGTATTTCCTTGGCTGTTGCAATAACCAATGGTAAACAGATTTCCTTGCTGATCTGACAAAGAAGTCTCTCAGAAACTTACTTTGGTTGCAGGCTTATTTTTTTCTTTGTTTGCTCCTTCTCCCCCACCCTGTTTTCAGGTGAGGGAATTCTGCTCTGATGGGATATTTCATTTTCAATTTTCTAATTTTTCTGACTGTTGACTTTCAGTTGGGAATAGCCTGGGAATGGTGATGTATATTGTATCACTTTAACATAGCTATGTTGTCACTGCATAACAAATGCAATGCTTTGCCACCTAATTCAATACTAGAATAATCCAGACAATACTGTGCCTTCAAAGTGTGACATTCAAAGTATACTTCACTGTTCTTTTCTCATGAGGCATGTCTGCACTCACAATAAAAAATATGTACTGCAGTATAACAACACATGCTGCACTCAATACATTGTCAAGTTATAATACTGAGATATGCAGTGTGTAGAACAAGTGCAAGGCAACAAGAGTGCCAACAAAGATAGGGTCTCTGTTATAAACTACTCAACTCTGGTCTTTCAGTACATAAGCAGCCATAATAAAATGCACATGAATGAATGTGGCTGTGTTCTAATAAAACTTTACTAATGAACACATGCTCCCTCTCTGGCCTCACATTAAAAAATCACCTCTCCCTTTCACCTGTCTTGGATTGTATCCTCTCCTACTCTCTAATAGGAGGCTTCATCTTCTGACTCCTCTCCACGGAAATTAAGATCTTCCGTTACTAGGTTCCAATATAAATATAATTTCTCAGCGTTACTTCACAGTATCCTTCTATCCAATATTATAGGACAGTTGATGAACAACTCTTATAGTTCCTGCCTATGTACTTTTGTTCAAGCTATTCCATCTGCTTCAGTCTTATGTTTTTCCTACACAACTGATGGAACATTACCTGTCTTTCCAAAATCTAACTTAGATGCTACTTCTTTCTAGATTCAAATAATCAAAAGATGTCAGCTTCAATTCTAAATTGAGATAATATTCTGTACCAGTTGACAGAGTAGGAGCTTAACAGTCAAAGATGCCTCATTTTGTTTTTGGTTCTGGCTTATTAAAGATGTGACCCTGAGGAAGTGACTTCTTTGAACTTCAGTTCTATCACTTGTAAAATGAGGATAATTCCTCTTAGGATTGTTTTAAGAATTATTATTATTATTTTTTAAGAATAGCAAATTTTATTGTTTAAAGAGAAAAGGCAATGCTGTGCATGGTGTTGTAAGAATTAAATGAGTAAAATACAAAAAATACTTAGCACAGTGTTTTGCATATAAAAAGGCTCAATAAGTCTTGTTTCTCCCCAACTGTCATACTCCTTACACTCTTTACGCCTCACTACACTTACCTATATGTGTCTCACCTACCTTTCTCTCAGTAAGTTTTAAAAAGGATAAGGGGTTTATTCCCTATGTTATCTCTGTATCATCTACAACATCAAGTTTAGTACTTTGTTTACAGTAGTTAAGTAATGTGTGCTGTTAAACTGAACAAAGAATAAATCAACAAGTCTGTTTTTGCTATATGTTCCTCTTCTAGTTTTAAAGTTCTTAACTGAAAAAAATAACTCAATCAAAAGACTAAATACAAATGAATATAAAAAAGCTAATTTAACTAATCTATTATTGAAATTTAAGACATATATGGTATTTTTTGTTTTGATATATACCATTTTTTAAAAGTCTTTATTGAATTTAGCATTGCTTCTGTTTGGATGTTTTAGTTTTCTGGCTGTGAGGTATGTGGGATCATAGCTCTCTGACCAGGGACTGAACCCACACCTCCACATTGGAAGGTGAAGTCTTAACTGCTGGACCACCAAGGAAGTCCTTGTTACATGGTTGTTAAACCCATTTTATTACTCTTACCTGTTACATCATCACTGTGAGTAGACAGCAGTTTCCAGATGAGGTAAGGTCCACCAAAGATAACAGCAAAGAATAAGAATATTGGCCAAGATTTTGCTGAGTTAGCTGCTCTGTCCTCAGCACCAAGGCAAGCCACAGTTCCTTCACTTTCTGCCCATACGTCCTCATTCTCCAAGCCTCTTCTTAAACCTATCATCCACTGTAACCGTCTATAAAGGTACCTTATAGTCCTAACTAATGCAAAAGCTGAAAAAACCTTTGTAAAGTGTATTTTTAATCGGGAAAAGTGGTTTGCTACATCCAGTACAGCCCTGAAACTGTTATAGACAGCTGAAAAAGTGGCATCCATCATCATGCTGACAGAGGCAAATGCATGCACAATACTTTCAATGGACTGAAATGCACCTCTGCTGCTCTCTTCAGCTTGCTGAACAAATCTACTAGGTGGAAGATCATCTAAACGAAGGCGGTTATAGCCCAGCCCATTATATCCATAACTGTAAGGGCTATAGCTTCCATAAAATGAATTTCCATAGGCACCATATCCAGAAGAAAATGAACTGTAAGCAGGTCTGAAAGTGTTCAAATTACTGCTTCCTGTCTGCTGTGATGGCCTTGGGAGAATGGGTGGTGGCACTCTGGTAAGTGTTGGTTGTCCAGGTCTTGTCAACAAAGTATGACCCAAATCAGCAGATCTAAAACCGAAAAAGATTCAAAATTGTAACTTAAGCACACAATAAATTAATTCAAACTAACTACTAAACTTTCTATATAAACAGTATTATGATTCTATTAAATCTAGTAAATAGGTTCTACTAAAGATTTTTAAGAGTAAGGAATAACCTCTAATATCCAAATGCTTAGAATCTGTGTTAAGAAAAAAATGGGTAAGATAAAGTGGCTGACTAAACTCTTTTTCTTGTTTACGTGTGCTTGCATTAGTAGTAGTAGTATCTTCAATCTGGGGTTTCTTTTAAAGACATATGTTCATTTTCTCAGAGTTAGTTACAACTTGGTATCTATCCATCCTTACACCTAAAATGGCACTATCTTAATTACTGTAGTTTTATAATAGTTCTTAATATCCAGTAAAACAAGTCTTCCCACAATATTCTTCATCTTCAGCAGTGTCTTGGCTATCTGACTCATCGAATATCCAAATATATTTTAGAATCAGAGCTTGAAGTACTATACTGCTCTCCCTGCAAAAGCCCTATTGAGATTCTGATTTGGGATTACACTAAATTCATAGATTAATTTGAGGTAGTCAACATCTCCAAAATACTGAGTTTCAACTTAAGATTATAAGATATGCTCCATTTACTTATCTCTTAAAGATTTTTCTCAACAATTTTTTAAAAAATAACTACCGAGTCTCAGTGTTTTATAGTTTACTATGTGGAGGTCTTTCTTTTAAATTTACTTCTATATATTTGGGGGGTTTTGATGTTATTGTAAATGGTGTCTTTCAAAAATTTCACTTTGTTGCTGTTGTATAGAAATAATTGATTAAAAAATATAGTCCTTATATCTAGCAACCTTATTTTGGATTCTTTTGTATTTTCTAGAATCTTAAGTATCTGTGGTCATATTGTATGTGAATAACAATAGGTTATTTCTTCCTTTTTTCAATTCTTACAGCTTTGATTGCTAAGATATTGCATCTAGGACTTGCAGCACAATCTTGAATAAACGGAATGACAGAAGGCATCCTAGTCTCATTCCCAGTCTCAAAGGGAAAATTTTCAAGATGGCACCGCCAATTATCATGTTTGCTGTAGGTTATAGATCTAGTAGTTCCTTTTCTAGTTTTAAGGAATGTACAGTGCAGTGGTGGTTCCAAGTGGTGGATAGTCCTGACCCAGCAATCGAACCCGCATCTCTTGCATCTCCCTAACTGGCAAGTAGATTCTCTACCACTGTCACCACCTGGGAAGCCTGGTGGTTCCAATATCAAATGGCAAATTTCAACAACACAAAAACCACGATTACTTTCACACCAACCTAATATATACAAAATAGATAACTAATGAGAACCTACTGTATAGCACAGGGAACTCTACTCAGTACCCTGTAATGGCCTATATGGGAAAAGAATCTAAAACAGTGGATACTTGTATAATTGATTCACTTGGCTGTACATTTGAAACTAACATGCCATTGTAAATCAATTATACTCCAATAAAATTTTTAAAAAATGCCAGCTGAATTAAATGATGTGTTTAGGGTCAATGTTGTTCTACATGCTGATACAAATTTCCTATCTTGTTGTGGACTGCTACTACATAGTTTGAAAAATAGCATCCAGCCCATAGATTCTCAGTAGCTACAGAACACACCTGTGGTGCCTAATCAGTTTCTAAACCCAACAAGTTCTCAATCTTGATTATTATTTTTATTCTAGAAATTCCTTTCTTTTAATAGTTTCCAATTCTCTATCAAAATTCTTCTTTTATTTCCCTCAGCATATTAAACATAACTTAAAGTCTCTTTGATAATGCCAATATCTAGAGTCCCTATGAATCTTTTTTTCCCCCAAGCTATAATGTCCTCCTAGGTCTGGCTGTTTGATTTTTCTGTGCATCAGCAATCATTATTGTAGCAATAATTTGAGATTCTGGATGATGTTCTCTTTCTCCAGATGTGTTTCATTCTAGATATTGTTTTTCTTTTTTAAAATTGAAATGTAGCTGATTTACAGGGTTTTGTTAGTTGCAGGTATACAGCAAAGTGATTCAGCTATATATATATATACATGTAGAGTCAAAGCTATGGTTTTTCCAGTAGTCATGCATGGATGTGAAAGTTGGGCCATAAAGAAGGCTGAGCACTGAAGAATCGATGCTTTCGAACTGTGGTGCTGGAGAAGACTCTTGAAAGTCCCTTGGATAGCAAGGAGATCAAATCAGCCAATCCTAAAGGAAATCAACCCTGAATATTCATTGGAAGGACTGATGCTGAAAATGAAGCTCCAATACTGTGGCCACCTGATGGGAAGAGCTGACTCACTGGAAAACACCCTGATGCTGGGAAAGATTAAAGGCAAGAGGAGAAGGGGACAACAGAGGATGAGATGATTGGATGGCATCACCAACTCAATGCACATGAGTTTGAGCAAACTCTGGGAGATAATAAGGACAGGGAAGTCTGGCGTGCTGCAGTTCATGGAGTCACAAGAGTCAGACATGACTGAGTGACTGAACAACAACAAAATAAGTGCATATACATATATGTAACTGAACATATATATTATTTTCCAGATTCTTTTCTATTATAGGTTATTACAAGATATTGAATGCAGTTCCCTGTACTATACATTAGTTCCCTGTGCTATACAGTAGGTCCTTGTTGTTGTTTATCTATGTTATATACAGTAGTACATACCTGGATATTGTTTTCTGAACTATCCTTTAGTTTGGTTCAGACATGCTTCTAAGGCTACTATCAATGCATAATGTCCTTAATTTCAGGAATTGATGATTTGAAGATGGGTTTCTGTTTCTATAAGGGCCTGTCTACTTCTTTTATATCCTTATATCTAGATGTATCTTTTCAGGGTCTGACATAAATGCATGGGTAATTTATCAGTATCTCTTCTTGCAAGGCATCTGAACTCCAACAATGCTTCAAAAAAGAGCTATTCAACTAGCTACATTATCTAAGCTGCTTTTTCTGAAATCAGCAGAAGCTTATATGGAAAAACTGCATCCAAAGGTCATGTTCACCTTTATGAATTTTCAGCTTTCCTGAATCCGAGCTCCATAAATCTTTATTTTCTTTTTTACTCTAAAATGCGTTCTAGCAGATGTTTTTATATTCTGCATACCTTTCAACTTGTCATTTACTTTTCCCCCCTAAATTATTCTGCCATCACTAAAAGTTCTTCCTATAATTCTTTATCCATATTTTGTACAGTTGTTCTTGTTTAGTCACTAAGTTGTGTATGACTCTTTTGCAACCCGATGGACTGTAGCCCACCAGGCTCCTCTGTCCGTGGGATTTCCCAGGCAAGAATATTAGAGTGGACTGCCATTTCCTTTTCCAGGGGATCTTCCCAACCCAGGGATCAAACCTGGGTCTCTCGCATTGCAGGGTAAAGCAGACGCTTTACCATCTGAGCCACCAGGGAAGCATCACCTACTATAGAGCTTAGCGTATAAATAGGTACAATACAAACACTATAGGGTTTACCAGGTGGCTCAATGGTAAAGAATCTGCCTGCATTAAAACCAAACTGAGCACATGTGCACATACACAAACATGATGTGGAGTCTTTCATTAATAAGTATTTAATACACATGTATCACACAGACTATTAATATAGATTTTCTTTATATATCCTTGTATTGTTTCATAAATTGTGATGAATATGTAACTTTAAAAATTACAGGGAATTAAATTTAAACATTTGGTAATAAAAAGATTTCATATACTACATATGAAATGTAGTATATTCCTCTTACTCTTCTTTGTCATTTCTGGCTGCCCTACTTGGTTTGTGGGATTTTAGTTCCCCAATCAGGGACTGAAACTGGGCCCTCGCAGTGAGCATCTGGAGTCCTGACCACTGGACCATCAGGGAATTCCCTCTTCTTTGGTTTTAATGGTCTCTGTTTCTGGCATACACAAATACATTCAGTGGGTATATACAGTTTTGCTTTATGTTACAACAAGCATAATAACTAAAGAAGCCTATGCTTAGAAGAACAAAAGATTTTTCCTTAGTGCTGAAAGTGCAAAAAGTCTCCCCCACTCAGTTTTTTATCTTGAAAAGTTTCAAAGAGGAAAGAAAAAAAAAAGAGCATGAAAGAAAAGTACAATGAATATCCACATACCTTCCATCTAGATTCAACAACTGCTATCATTTGGCCACACTTGCTTTCTCTTTCTCACTCTACAGTCTTTTAAAAATTCTTGAGCTATTTGAAATTAAGTTGCAGATCGAATAAATTACTCCTAAATATCTCTGCGGGCGTCTCCTGACAACAAAGATACTTCAGACAAACCAGTAATACTGTTTCCCATCTCTGAAAATTAACAAATCCATATTCTCCATTACTCAATTGATAATTCAAAACATATCCATTACTCTCAGTTATCTTTGTCTAAATAGCTTTATTGAGCTATAATTCATATACCATAAAATTCACCCATTTAAAGTGTAAAAAGATTTTTCATACATTCACAGAAGTGTACAAAAATCCCATACTCATTAGCAGTCACTCCCTATTTCTTACTCTTCTCTAATCCTGTGTAATCACTAATCTACTGTCTGTAGCTATAGGTTTGCTTTCTTTGGACATTTCCTATATAGTTGATTCTTATTATGTCATACTTGTGTTCATAAAGCTGAAAACACTGAATTAGCAAGTACCAAATCACTGCTCAAGAAGGAAACAAAGAGTTAGATTCCTTCAAGCCTCTGGTCAAAACATTTCATCTGATCAACACACATACTTGTTTTATGTACGTTTCTGTTATAGAACTACTTTAATTATATTGTTGACTCATTAATAATGAACTCCTGGCCTAAAGCACAACAATTCAAGTCTGAACAAAGTTTATCTAATGCTAATATTTTTTCCATAAAAGCTTCCTAAGAATACTAGAGAGCACTTTGGTACTATGCTTATGGGTCAGTTTAAGACTGTGAAATCAACAAATATGTGAAAAATGTGGCTGGCACTTAACAGAT